CCAATTCAAAGCCACCCATACCCAGCCTGCAATTCAGGACCTCCTCTGGTCTATGCCACATAAGAAGGACCATGGAGGAGAAAGGAGGCCCACAGTGTGGAGATAGAGATAGCTTGGTCTCCACAATCCCAGCACCCAAATTGTAGCTTCTTCTTGGCCCATGACTGTGACCTGCCACTACTTGGCACAGAAAGCAGACTCCAAGGGCTCTCATAGACTCCACAGACTCCACAGAATACAATCCATTTAAAATGTTACATTTCCTGAGGCTGAACCTGAGGAAAGTGTCTTTTATTAGGAGAAATAAGATCAAAGTAATAAGGTAGAGCCCGATTCCAAATGTAAAGTTTACTTGCTATGAAACAAGTCACCTGTTCTCTCTGCAATGCATCATTCCTGAGAGCGTCTATTGGCACAAAACCACTTAAACTCAAGACTTTTCTCTAAGTATAAAATCACTTAAAGTTATTTAGAAAAAAATCTGTCATTAGTGTGAAAATAAATAAGCTTAAGGGAGAAAAGGATGGATGCTAAAGTAGTCCTTTCAGTGTGGATTTCCTAACATAAACTTTTGAAGCGAACTTAGAGACCCAGGCAATAAATGCGGTTAGCATCTCCAGTTGCAAGGAAGGCAAAGGAGGGTACAGGAAACATCATGGAGTTGTCCTTGGTACAACTAAGGAAGTTTTTACAGCTCTTGACCTAAGAGCCCCCAAATCACAAATAGCCCAGATTCTGGTTGCCACTGATGGCATTCAGTAGAGGGAGAAGAAAACCAACCATCTTTCTAAGATGGCAGCAGGGTGTGGAGGGCATGGAACTCCTTAAAACAGGGTACAGGAGCCTGCAGGAGTAGCTGGTCTGTGACTACACACTATTAGGTGTGACACTAGAAAATACTGCTGCACAGTCACCCGTTATGCTGAAACTGAACCACACTGTTGACACTTGACAAACATCTGTCAGGGTCGCATGCAGACAAACTGGAAATGTTTCACCTGTGATTTCCTTAGCAGAAAGGAGAGAAAGAGAGGCTCAGCATTGATTTAGTGTTTTCTGTGTGTGGAATGCTGGGTTAAACATTTAAAAAATATATCTCTCAATCATCATTGTAAGAAACAATGTTTGATAGCAAATAAAACATATTTGAGAAACACTGTCATTCCAGCAGGGTTAGTGCTGGGTCAACCAGCAAGACCAGAGGGAAAGTAGAGCCCATGACAGAGATTTAGCACAGAACAAGAGAGGCCTTTCTGGGTGGCTGGCATAGTGTGGTTACATAATGAGAAATTAGTGGGGAAATGGCTGCCCATTTCCAAAGGCAGAATTGACCTATATGTGCAAACAAATAAAAATACAGAAAGGGCCAGGCGTAGTGACACATGCTTTTAATCCCAGCATGTGGAGGCAGCCTAGTAGACATAGTGACTCCCAGGCCAACCAGGGCTGACATGACCTTGTTAATAAAGATGACGATGATAATGAAGAAGAGTAAGAAGGAGGAGGAGAAGGAGGGGGAGGAGGAAGAGGAGGAGGAGGAGGAGGAGGAGGAGGAGGAGGAGGAGGAGGAG